CTGCAGATACCATTATGCAAGATAACATTCCCAGAATGCAAGTGACCAAATGGCGGAAAACCGTTTTGTTGTAAGAAAAGTAAAGCCTATCAAATAAGTAAAATATAAAAGAAATAATATTTAACTGATAAAGCATGCACAAAACAGAATTATATAAAATGCAATAGTCATTATTATGAATAATAAATATAATCAGTAAACACCCATTGCATACACGAACTGTCATTTTTGAGTTTCAATGGCAAAGTAATAATTAATCGAGAAATATACTTACAGAATATGCAATAAGATTAAGAAAATAAGTTTGTATGTCTTCCTAAGTTTTTTTTTTTTCATCAATTTTGAAAAAATATAAGCCTTTCAAATGCAAGCACTTTCGGTAACTTAATAACACATAATTTATTAAATAAGCTTCAGATGAGTATATTTAGTGTTGGAACAAGTAAAATCAACATGGCTGCCGGAAAGTTAATAATCAGAGTTTGCTGTCTGAATGTAAATTGGAAAGAAAACAGTAGATTCATTCTGTAGAATATGTACAAGGTTTGGGCAAGGTGAAAGTACTGCTCAAAAGGGGTTCAGGAGGTTTTCAACAGGAAATAGCTAACAGGAAAATGAACTTCGTGAAGGATTGTGATGATGACGAACTGAATGTGTTGAATATAATATGCTTCAAACGTACCACTCGCAATAAACTATGTCTGCTTTTACTTTGTATCAGGAAAATACACTCTTGAGAATAAAAAATACGACTTGTATCATGATCATTTTTATTAGATAAGTCGGTACAAGCCATCATTATTATTTTTTGACAAGTATTTGCTTTCATCTTCATTTTATATTTGATAAGTCAATTTCAGTCATTATTATTAACTTTTTTATTTACTTTCATCTTCATTTTTATTAGCTGAATCTTTGTATTTTTTTACTAGTATTTATTTTCATATTTATTTGATAAAGCTTTGTTAAATGTTATCATTAATGTTAGACAAATATATACTTTCGCCTTGATATTTATTGGATGAAGCCTTTTCAACAAGTAAATAATGAAATAGAAAAAAAAAACTTCACAAACTTTATTAGCTATTTTTTATGGACTCAAACAGGACTCGAAACCTAGTAAATATTATTTTTTATTTTATTTTCTTTCTTTTAGGGAAAGCAAAAACAGTTTTAATAAATAGACCATTATTAGTTATTTTCCTAAATATTAGTTTTAAATGAATTGTCATTTTCAGTACTAAGGATAAAGAATCATGTTTTTCATACTCGATGATGAAGTTTGTGTCCTGCTCTTGAGAATTCAAATTATTTGAATTGAGCTGAGAATATTCTTTTTCTTTAAAAATGCAAATGAAGAATATTATGACCAAATTGACGGAGTTAGGACGGAGTCTCCTTTCATTCTGATACTTGTTAATTTGTTCATGGAACATAAAGAAAAAATTTGTTTAGATAACAAAGAAAACATGATCGACAATTTTTGAACAATTTAAATCCCTTATTCAGTAAAGTGTATTATAATATAAGGAATGGGTAACAACGACCTTAATCAGATGTTACGGCTAGAAATTTTATGTTTTTTCCCCTATTATTCCGTATACAACAATGCCCAACTAATATTTTTGCGACGATGGGTGATATTGTATATGAAGCCGATTGTTGTGGAGTTATTTCGCAGTGGACGTTTGTATTTGTACTAGATCGGTCCTAAAATAGGTTCGACGTACAAAACATTAGGAACTTGATATAATAGGTATTACGCAGAGTAATCTTGTTGTCGTCGCTGACTACTTTCGTATTCGATTAACTGTCGACTACTGTCACCGACATCGACGCTATTTAGTAACTGCCCCAAACAGTCACATGTGGCACAAGGCCTAATTTAATGTGAGGTTCCCGAGCCCGTAGGCTCGGCCAAAAAATCCCCGTAGACCCCGCATAAACGGGATCGGGTCTGTCTACCTCCCCGGACGAAACTCTTCCCTTTGGCATAGCCTCGTCCGGGTTCCTCTCTGCCCGAAGGCAGAGAGTTCGACTGTCGTCCGACATCTACTAGTATTTAGTCACCCCCCCACGAGGGTATCATGTGGCACAAGGCCGGTTTAACGTGGGATCTCCGAGCCCGTGGGCTCGGCCAAAAATATACCCTTTGAACCCGTATAAACGGGTTCAGGGTCGGTTTACCTCCCCCGAAAGAGACTCCACCCTTCGGCGAAGCCTCGTTCGGGTTCCTCCCCGCCCGAAGGCAGAGAGTTCAACCGTTCAGCCGGTCGTACGACATCGACTGACCCTCGTTTCTCTTACTACTCCTACTTATATTAGGTGGGAGAGTCTATTAACTATAGAATAGGTGTGTTTCACCATAACACCGATCTAAGGTTAACCGTAGAGAATTATGAGATTAGTACTCTTTCAATGTGTTTTCTTAGAAAATTCGTCATTCTTTTCATTAGACTGGCATTTTTAGGTGGAAAATACGGTCAGATGTGTTACAGTG